ATGGTATACATATTCTTTTGTAGGAATTAAATATTTAACAAAATTGAGTCTATCATTATTGCTTATTATTATTCTTTGATAGGCTCACATTTATTCTTTTATCATGCCATGTCTAACATTCAGAAAAATATCTTGGGGGTTTTAATTAGTAGTAGTCTACTTTATTAAATTGGGAAGAATTCTCTTTTTTGCTTTACTAAGTTTTTCCAGTTAAGAGAGTGTAGAGCTCTTGTATTTTATTTCTCTCATTAAGGTTTTATTATTTTCTTTGAATAAGTTATTGTGGCCCAAGTACATCCAAGAATTTAATAATGTAATGCTTTCATTACTATTGTGAATGGAAACATTTCCCTGTGTTTTTGAGCTGAGATAATGGCTTGCATGCCGAGACTCCTTCATTTCCTCTAATAAATTACCTCCTTCCCTTTGGATCTTCCAGGTAAGCAAACATGTTATCTGCAATGTGATATTTTATTTTTTTTTCATTTTCTATATACTATACCTTTTAAAATATTTTTTTCCTAATGGCTATTAGATGATATATAAGATAGGAATGGTGACAGAAAGCTTCAGACTTGGAGTCAGAAGACATGGGTCCTGACTTTACCATGTACTGGCTAAGTAACTGACCTTAATCTCAGCCTGTTTCTCTGGTTTCTTCATCTGAAAAATGAAGGGCTGAACTTAATTACTAAGGTTGCTTCTGGTTCTGAAATGAGGCCATTCTAATGTATTTCCATTAAGTTAGAGTTGCCTCTTTATTTTAAATAGTTTCTCTGCATTGTGGGGTTTGATTTTGTTTTGTCTGTAGTTTTAATCAAGAATAGACGGTATAGGCTATTGAATGCCATACTGACATGTACTAGGAAAATTAGATTTCAATTGTAGACCTATATTTTCCATATTATGATGAAGTCAGTGTTCGCCTTGCTCATATTGTCCCTGCCTTTCATACAGAGGCAAATTGTCTATATTGTTCCATATTGAAGGAAATCACTGAAGGTGATTCTTTGACTAGGAGGGCAGATTTGGTTAGTTACGGTTTCATTTCAGATTTTCCTGTATGTTCATAAGTTAAATTGTGACCATATGTTTTTGTTCTGCTTTTTCCCCTTTTTGTGTGCTGCTCTTGTTCATTCCATTTTTTTCCTTTTAAAATGTTTTTGTGTACTTTATGTAGAATAGGGATTATTGATTCATTCTTTTTTTAAAAAATTTTTTTTCAACGTTTTTTTATTTATTTATGGGACAGACAGAGACAGAGCATGAATGGGGGAGGGGCAGAGAGAGAGGGAGACACAGAATCGGAAACAGGCTCCAGGCTCTGAGCCATCAGCCCAGAGCCTGACGCGGGACTCGAACTCACAGACCGTGAGATTGTGACCTGGCTGAAGTCGGACGCTCAACTGACTGCGCCACCCAGGCGCCCCTTGATTCATTCTTTAAAAGTTGGGGAATTATGTGAGGACTCCATCAGGGCCACTAAACATTTTAAGTGTTTGATCTTATTTCTTCTGTGGATCCACTTACTTATTGGGCCTCTTTGAGGAAGGCAGCCCATTGGTGCAGCTAGGAGGCCCCTTGTCCAGGACCACTCGGAGTTCTGCTACTAACGTCCTCCAGAATGTGCAGCAGGTCACTTGCACTCTCTGACTTTTCCTACCTGTAAAATGGGAATTGCAGCTGCCTCTCAGATGAGCTGTCAAGTAGTGGTGGACACGCTCTGCCCTCTCACAGAGGGGGGCCTCGTAGCATATTGGGCAGCTGATATTTTTACAGGTGCTTGTCCATTTCCACTCAGTTTCCAGACTCATAAAAAGAGTGAGGACTTAACAAGTGTGTTGCCACATGCTTTTGGAATATTTATTTTGCACTTTTTGTTTCTTTTTTTTTTTTTAATGGCTTAAAATTTTTTTTAAGTTATTTTGAGAGCAAGAGAGAGAGAGAGAGAGAGCACAAGCCGGGTGGCGTCAGAGAGGGAGAGAGAATTCCAAACAGGCTCTTGGACGACACTGATAGTGCAGAGCCTGACGTGGAGCTTGAACTCACAAACCAGGAGATCATGACCTGGGCTGAAGCCAAGAGTTGGATGCTCACCTGACTGAGCCACCCAGGTGCCCCTAAAAAAATGGCTTTAAATGGCAAAAGGATAGCTTTGCATTATTCCCTGCGAAGTTAATTTTTTTCCCCACTGATTTTTTATTTATGCCACTAATAAGAAGAGAACTCATTATAATGCAAGTGTGTCTTTTCTTTTTACTTTATTGTGAAAGAACCTTTGGAACCTCTTTTCTCAGGATCCTCATAGATTCATATATAGAATTTTCCCCCAAAAGCTTTAGAAATTAGCTTAATGTTTTTTAAGAAGTGGAGCTAAGGGAAATACTTCAGAGCAATTGAGATCAATTTTACTTATTAACAAAAAGCTCATAAACAAGAACATTAAGTTATATGAACAAGGATATATTTGTCTCCCTTTTTTAGAATATGAACTAGCCCCTAGATCAGAACTAGCCCCTAGATCAGAACTAGCCCCTAGATCAGAGCCTGGCACATAGTAGGTGCTCAATAAGTATTTGTTGAATGGATCAATTAATGAATATAGGATAGTTTGAATTTCTGACTTTTAATATGTGCATGTTTTTCTTTTTTTTTTTTTTTTTAATTTTTTTTTTCAACGTTTATTTTTGGGACAGAGAGAGACAGAGCATGAACGGGGGAGGAGCAGAGAGAGAGGGAGACACAGAATCGGAAACAGGCTCCAGGCTCTGAGCCATCAGCCCAGAGCCCGATGCGGGGCTCGAACTCCCGGACCGCGAGATCGTGACCTGGCTGAAGTCGGACGCTTAACCGACTGCACCACCCAGGCGCCCCTGTGCATGTTTTTCTTTATTAATGAGACTAATGGCTTACTAACTTCTCATATACATGAATATTTTTTCTGCCTATGGAATCTATAGCTTTTCTTTCTCAATTTTATGCATTCCTGCTGCTGGCTAAGGAATTGAAGCACCTTTTCTTTTTCCTCATTGGTCTTCTCTACTACCTCCTTCTAGACTCTGGATGGCTTCTATTCCTCCCTTTCTCTCTCTCCCTTTGTCTCTCCTTCCTTCCTTCCCTTTCTCACCACTCATATTTGCTATTCATTCATTCATTCATTCATTTTATTTATTTTAATTTTTTTCTTTCTTAATGTTTATTTATTTTTGAGACAGAGAGAGACAGAGCATGAACGGGGGAGGGTCAGAGAGAGGGAGACACAGAATCCAAAACAGGCACCAGGCTCTGAGCTGTCAGCACAGAGCCTGACACGGGGCTCGAACTCATGGACTGCGAGATCATGACCTGAGCTGAAGTCGGACGCCCAACTGACTGAGCCACCGAGGCACCCCTTCATTCATTCATTTAAAAGATATTATTCATAAAAGCACCTACTATATGCCAGATTGCTAGGCATGGAGGAGACGGTGGGGTGAACAAGGAGGTCATTCATGATCTCTGGGGTCATGGAACTTATAGTCTGACAGGGAAGACAGGCCTGAGCAGATACATTTCACAAATACCTAATTATAAATTTTGACAAAGGCCATGAAGGCAAAGTTTGTGGGTGGAGCATGGAGCTTTAGCAAAGACTTTCACGAAGCCATTGTAGCTGAGATCTGAAGGAAAATTAGGAGTTGGTGGCGTTCCTCAGGGAACATCATGGGGTGTGCTGGGGCTGGGGGAAGGGAAACAGGGTTTCCCTGGGAGCCCAGGGCAACTGGAGTGACTGGAACATGGCACAGCAGGGATGGACAAGGGGACTAAAAGGCAGTCAGGGTTTGCTCACATCCATCTTTCGGTCATGACTTCTCCTCCTAGGACCTGCCTGGCAGGATCCCACACTGTGACAAATTGCACTGGTTGTCAGCAAATGGTCTGTGTTACAGAGTTCTTTCCTGGATTTTTCAGTCATTTAAGAAAAAACATTTTATGTAATTGGTGGTTGTGTCTTTGGGCAAGCCACTCAATCTCTCAGAGCCTCAGTTTTCCTGAATGGGAGGAATTTCTGTCTACCCCATGGGGTCCTCTGTGACCTCTGCCAGGCCACCCTGTGATTATCTGTTGGAGGCCCATCTTCGTCCCCTGTCTGAGAGCCCAAGGGAGGGTGGGTTCTACTCACCTATGTACTTCTGGCTTCTCCGATGGGGCCTGGCATAGAAATGAGAGCAACTGGGAGGCCTTCATAGAAAAGGGAGCCCCAGGGCTGGGCCCAGAGGTCAAGGTGGATTTGAGGAAGGGGGAAGAGCTACAGAGGTTCGGAAAGCGGCAGATATGCCAGTGAAGACTAAAGCGAGGAGGTGGTAACAGTAACAATAATGATAGCGCTACCTTACTGGGCCCTTGTCATGTGCCAGATACTGTTATGAATGCTCTACATATGCTCACTTATCCTTTCAGTAACCCTAGGAGACAGGTACTACAATTATTCCCATTTTACAAATGAGCAGACTGAGGCACAGAGGGATTAAGTACCTTGCCCAAGGTCACACAGCTAGTAAGTCTTGGAGGCTGGCTTTAAGACCAGGCATTGTGGCTTCAGGATGTATAAGGCAATGAGCGCAGAGAAGCTGGAGGGCCTTACGTGCCCATCCAGTCTTTACTGAACTGCTTATGGGAGCCATGGAAAGCTTTTGAGGGAGGAATGCTAAGGCTGCGCTCAATGTGACTATCCCTGTCTCCTGCAGAAATCATCCATGGAGCAGCCCCTGTACAGCAGCAGCCTGTGGGGCCCTGTGGTCGATGGCTGTGACTGCATAGCTGAGGGCCTGTGGCTGCCGCAACTACACGTAGGGGACTGGCTGGTCTTTGAGAACATGGGCGCCTACACTGTGGGCATGGGTTCCCTCCTTGAGGGGGCCCAGACATGCCGAGTCACGTATGCCATGTCCCGGGTGGCCTGGTAAGGGGGCCCTGAGAAGGGGGTGGGGGAGGAGAAGGGAACAGGTAGGGAAAGGGGGTAAATCTGAGAATGGAGACTGGCTTGCATGTAATCCAGCTTGACAAGTAGCTCTTGGCTGCTGATTCCGAGTGAGGCCTGCACTTGGCACCTTGCCATGACCATGAATGAGATGGAGCCTCCCCTGAGGAGCTCAGCACCCTGTGAGAGACACAGGTAGACAGGCACTCCTCATAATACCGGGGGGCGAGGCTGGGCTGTGGAACCTGAGAACCCTCCCTGATGCCCAGACCGACTTCCCCAAAGGAAAGAAGATGGTAAATGAATGGGAGTTAGCCAGCAGGAGGCAGTAGGGGGCTCCAGGCAGAAGGAACAGGGAGTGAGCATGCTGCCCTCAAGAAACTGAGGCTGGCTGTGGCTGGAGAGGGAGCAGGGCTGGATCTGGGAAGGGCCTTGAAAGCCGAGTGAAAGGCTTTGAGCAGTGCAAAGCATGGACTGATTTGAAGCAGGGGAGTGACGCGGTCAGGTTTGGGTTTTAGAAAGACCACGGTGGCTACTCGGGGGGGGGGGGGGGGGGAAAGAAGGGAGGACAAGGGCAGATGTGGACTGAGCAGACCAGTTGGGTGGCTGCTCTGTGGCCCGGGAACGACTTGCCTGCTGGCCGAGCCTCACAGGAAATGCACACACTAGCCCTGCTTGCCTCACCGGGCCAGTGCTGGGATTCAGGGTGGCAAGGGGGGCACAAGGCAGACAGAAGTCACGTTTGTTGAGCCTGTCAGGCCTTAGGTCAGGAATCATATGATTATTTCCTCTCACCCGCACACAACTCTGCAGGATCCGTGCTATCACAGAGAGTTTTGGTCAGTGGTGAAGAGCCCCCTTTCGGGGCTGGGAGATGCCTGGGGAGGCAGGAGCAGTTGGGGGGACTTCCATGTTGGGCCTCAGGAGTGAGTGCTGCCTGTGTCCTGGGGGACACACTAGATGCTTGAGGGACCCCCTCCCCCCAACAATGTAGCAACCCCCGCTTGATGGGGCGCAGCATCAAAGTCACATTTCATTCATCCAGTCAACAGTCCTTGGTTGTACCTCCTCGCCGCAAGGACACAGGATGGACTGATGCAGCCATTGTGACCTCAGGGATATTGTGACAAGGCCTGAAACAAACTTAAAAAATGTACCACACAGGCCTCCTTATCCCATCCCAGCTCCACCTTAAGCAAACAGAGGAGGTTGTGGGGAGCCAGTTTCTTCATCACTAGAAACAAAAAATTTTGATGTATTAAAATGACCATGCCGAAAAATTCCCCGTATCAAAGAAATCCCGGCAAGACATCCTGCTTGCTTTCAAGCCTGGCTCTGTGCTGGGCCCTGCGGGGAAAAGAGCACCTCAGACAGCATGGTGACCTGCACACGTGGACACTGGCACAGAGGGCAGAAAGGTACTGGGGAGTGAGAGACGGCAGACTGGGGAGGGGTGGTCAGGGCTGATGGGTACGGAGGAGGCAGCCAGGCGCGGGAAAGCTGAAAGGGAGCAGTCTGGGCCGAGAGATGTGGGGGCTTGAGTCCAGTCCATTCACAGAGCTGCAAGTAGTTGTGCCTGACTGGAGTGGCCTGTGCGGAAGACTGGATGGAGGAGGGCCTTGCAGGTCCAGGTTGGACTTGATCTTGAAGGCACTAGAGAGCCACTGATACTTTTTAAGAAACTGGGCCAATTCATTTGGAGCGATGAGGAGACAGACAGAGGGTGCTTGGCCTGGGGAGCCTTCCACCAGAAGGAACAGCCTGATCACCAACTGCACACATCAGCAAAGAGGGAGGCCCTCCTGCAGGTGGGAGACTGGGCTGAGCAGCGTCTGAGAGCAAACAGAAGCTGCTGATGACTCAAGGACAGGAATTTGCCTCCTGGAAAGACGAACCTGGGCCTGAATCGTGTGGTGGCAGGAGCAGAGCAGGGAGGCCGTGTAGCCCCGGCTAGAGATGGTGGCAGCACTGGGAATGGAGAGAGATGGGTGCCTGTGAGGGAATTCTGGAGCTGGGTTTGGCAGGGATGGACTGGGTGTGAGAACAAGATTCCCAACTTGTGGCTGAGCAGCTGGTCAGATGGTAGAGCCATTTATCAACCTGGGTAGGTAGGTTCGTAGGGATTTTGAGAGGGGGCAGGAGGTGATTTTATTCTTTGAAGTCCTAAGCCTGGGCTATAAAGACTGTGGGATTTAGATGGAAACAGTTGGGTTGAATCCTAGTTTTACCACCTTCTAAGGATGTGACCTTGTGCAGGTCACTTCTCTCTGGGTCTCAACTTCCTTACCGGTAAAATGGGGATAATAATGCTGCGCTTATATGATTTGGGGGAGGATACAATTAGACACTGTAAGTAAAGTGCCTGGCACAACGTCTGGCATATAGTGTGAGTGCTCAATAAATGTGGGTTCCTCTCCCCTTACTGTGGAGGTGGACCATAGGGGAGAATAGAGCGGTGCGGGGACAGTTCAGCAGACCTGCCCCACTCCTGCCCTAGGCTGGGCTCTGGGGCCCATGTGGGAACCCTATACCGAGGGGGCTGGGTCTTCTGGTGCAGGGGCCTTCAGGAGCCCCTGGCCTGTGGGCCCCATGCTGGCTGCCTCCAGTGCCCCTCTCTTGCCTGCAGGGAAGCCCTTCGAGGGCAGCTGCTGCCTGCAGAACAGGACGAGGACACCGAGGGCATGTGCAAGCCTCTGTCCTGTGGCTGGGAGATCACAGACACCTTGTGCGTGGGCCCTGTCTTCACGCCGGCGAGCATCATGTGAGCGGACCCCGTTCCCCCCCACCCCTGGAGAACTCTAGCGGGGCCGCAGAGATGCCTCTGGGAGACTTGGGGAAGGCAGCGAGCAGGGGCACCCTTTGGCCAGGACTCTGGTGCTCACTCTGCTGCCTCCCATGCCCCACCTGTAGTGTTTCTGCCCTGTAAATAGGACCAGTCTTACACTCACTGTAGTTCAAGTATGCAACATAAATCCTGTCCCTTCCAGTTGTGTCTGACTCCTCTGCAGCGCAAGGGGCCTGGTCAGCCAGGTGTGGGGGTGTTCTTGGGGGTCTCCCTTGGTCTCCTTCCTACTTTGTAAATATGAAGCAAATAAATATTTAGGTTTTTTTTTTTTTTTTTTTAATACTTCAGTGGAATCTAGCAGTTCAATTCACAAAGCAGCCTGGGCTAGGCCAGGGCCTAGCCCACCCTACACTGATGACCCCATGCCCTCTGCTTCAGTCCTGACCTGGCTGCAGTCTCTCCCACTGGCACCCAGCTTCTCTGACTCATCTCTTTCCTCTGCATAGGCTGCGATGCCTGGTGTCATGAGGAGGAGTGAGCTGTTAGGGTTGAGGTAGGGGTCAGAGCTGCCTGCCACCCTTCAGCCCTAGAGCTGCATCTCCTGACTGGTGAGGGGCCTCGATGTGAACCCAATACCCAGCCTAAGGCCTGGCCCAACACAGGGGCAACTGAATATCTGACACGGCTCTGGAAATACATGCCAAAGATAAAGAGCAAAGAGATGGGTGTTTGAGAGGTCTTGAGGAGACCTGCACCCTTACTCTCCTCGCAGGTCTGCAAGGCAGTAGGAGTAATACAAATACATGGAGGTTGGTGTCACTTACTCAGGCAGTAACTGCCATAACAGGGTGGCCCCGGGGCACTGCCACATCCAGTGCCAGGGGCCCTGAGACTGACGTCTTCTCGACTGGAAGTCTATCATCAGGATAAAGCCTCCTTCACACTGCTAGGGTCCCAGGCTATGCACCTGGGGTATGTGAGTTGCTTAGCAAAGGAGTTCAGATTTAGAGTTCCCCTCGCTGCTACAGGGGATTCAAAAGATTTTTCTTCTGCAATTAAAAACCATTAAAATGTAATTCACGTGCCTTAAAATCCACCCTTTCAAAGCACGGAATTCAGTGGTTTTTAGTATAATTCACGGAGTTTGTACAACCATCACTACTGTCCGATCCCAGAACATGTATATTACCTCAAAAAGGAACCCTGTGCTCGTCAGCATTCACTCCTCTTTTTCCCCTTCCCCAGCCCCTGGCAGTCACTCATCTACTTTGCATCCCCATGGATTTGTCTGTTCCAGACATATTAATAATGTTTTTATACCTTCACTTGAGCTTCTCTCTGGGTCAGCCTGGTATGTGGGTTGTTGTTGTTTTTTCCTCCCCCACACCGCCAAGCAATTCTCTGACTCCAGCTGGGTATCCCACAGTCCAATTCAATTCTGACACCATCTGCTTAGAGATCACTTCAGATCCCATAGGTTGAGGGCTCAGTCCCAGAAGACTTCCTCACTGCCCCCGCCCCACCCCACTTCAGATACCAATCACCAAGTCCAGGCTGTGCCTTGTGTTTGGACCAACGGGCTGTAGATTGGAGGTCCCAATGACTCTCTTCCTTGGGTTCAATTAATTTCCTAGGATGGGTCACAGAACTCAGGGAAACACTTTACTTCCTATATTCCTGGTTTATTGTGGAAGGATGTAACTCAGGAATGGCCAGAGGAAGAGATGCACAGGGCAAGGTGTGGAGAAAGCGTGCACCTCCCTCCCAGCACCTCCATGTCGCACCAGCCTGGAGGCTCTCCAAACCCTGTCCTTTGGGTTTTTATGGAGGCTTCATTACCTACACGGGACTGATGAAATCATTGGCCACCGGTGATTGAACTCAGTCTCCAGCCTCCTCCCCTCCCCAGAGTTTGAGGGTAGGATATAACAAAAGACACCTTTGTCACTCTCATCGCTTAGGAAATTCCAAAGATTTTTAGGATCTCTGTGCCAGGAATGGGGGTGAAAACAAAATGTACATTTATTATTGTAAGTCATAATATCATATCTCATCATCCTGTCTCAGCATCTCAGCCAGTCCTGGGTCCTGCGTGTGGCTCTGAGGTCATCTAATGAGGCAGTGTGTTCTGAGTGAACTGGGTGCTTGTCAAAAGCAGAGATATCTTTTCCAGGCTTGGCCTACTTTTTGATACTTTGACACTAAATAGGCTGACAGGACACCAAGAGATTCAGAGACCAATCAGAAAGGGTCACTCTACTGCCCCTTAGTTATTCACCCATGACCAGGTTTTACATATTACCGTGCTGGGCTCAGCCCTCGTCTATGAGGCCATTTCTGAGACTTCTGTTTTGATGCCCAAGCAGACCTGGGCCCACTCCTGCTTTTTTGGAGGGAAGGGAAGGAGAGGGCAAACATAGGTTCTTCTGCTGGAAGCGGGTGTCTCCTTCCAAGGGCAGCAGATGCCCTGCTAAGACCGCTGGCTGCAGTGAGATCTAGGCCTAACTCATTACCTTGTCTGAGGCAGGTTCACTGGGGAGATGCGTCTGTGGCTTTTAAAGTGACAGCAGCTGGCAGGGAGTTTGAACAGATTTCTCACTGGAGCCTTTCAAAAGGTTTCATGTTCCATTTGCTGCAAGAAATGTGTGAAACTTACTTTTCTGAGAAAGCTATACAGAGAAGTTGATGTGACTTACTTGGTAATAAACAGTCATTTCTTTTCAGTTGTTTTTGTCATTTCCATCTTTTTTTCTGTGTGAAAAGTATTAAACACGTGGAGAATGTTGAGGGCCTTTCAGGCCTGTACAGGGGAATTTGACTGGGGTCTCCTGGAGCCTGGGCTGCACAGGCATTTGCCTCCTTTGAGTGCCTCCCTAAGCAAGCCACTGGCAGTGAAACTGCGTGCCATGCTGGCTGCCCCAGAGATCACTTTCCTGGTGGCCTCTCCCAACCCCATCCTGCCCTGGGACCTCACCTAAGGGACACCCTCCTCTCAACACCTCCCCATAATCCATCTGTGCCTCCTCCCGTGGGCTTACTAGCTCACTTACTTACTCCGGGAGCTTAACAGACCTGCTACAGCCACTCCTGTCACCTCTCACCCAGGGACTGGCCCCCTCCTTCCCCTCCACTGTCCACTCTACTCAGCACTGGATCCAGTCACCTCTGATTCCCATTTCATCAAGAATAACACTTAAAGTCCTTGCCCAGTTTCTTCTCGGGCTCCCTTTTCTCCCTTATTCACTACTCCCCAGACATACTGGCCCCTCTATTCCTCAAACACTCCACGCACGGCACCCATGCTGGGCCTGCATTTACTGCCCCCTCTCTCTGAA